TTTGATTTGATTCGAAAAAATCAAATCAAATTCAAATTGCTTCAATATTTGATTCGATTTGATTTTGAGGAACCCTATCCTTGAGTTTGGTTAAACTTGGTGTTTTTTTCTTTACTTGAATGTGACGCTTTCGCAGTATTTTGCAGTGTAGAGAAATATATGCAATCTTTTAATATATCGTAAATGAAAAACGGTATTTTTAAATGCGATCTCAAAAGTTAATTAATTATTTTTTAATTTTATTAATTTTGTTTATCTTCGTTGAAAAATTCATAAGGTATTTAATATTTTTAAGATAAATTATTAAACGACGCAGATAAACTAGCATTAAAGCTACTTGATAATTCCAAGACCAAAAGGTATCTAAATTTTTTTCTTGTGGCTTTTATATAAATTCAAGTTACTCAATATGCGTAAGTATTCTTGGTAATACCTAATTTATATACGAGTCGCATATGGCGTTTGTTGCATTAGGGTGTACAAAACTTAATCATATAGTAAAATAGAGAGTTTTAAGTCCTGTTTGGAAGTATTATGAATTTATAAATTTAAAATTAATTATGAGTAAACATAAATAAGAATTTCTAACAAGATTTTTTATTTTATTTGAAATGTTTCAAACATTTAATCTGAAACATTAAATACAATAAAATAAAACGTAAATAATTACTTAATATCTTGCGCCGCAATTTTATTGTTGCTTGAATGTACTTTTTTGTTAAATTTTAAAATGAATTATTATATAAGTAACTATAAAATACATGTATGTAATTGTATTTATTTATATTATATTTTGCGCCGCTAATGTGATGACTTTTTATTAGACATTTTTTTGCTATGATTAGAATTTTTTATCGAAATTATCAATAATATCTATAAATTATTAAATAAAAAGTTCAAAATTAAATAATATGTACAAAATAAACTATAAAAAATTGAGTTTATTAATAAATCAAAGCATATTTTGACGGAAACAAAATAACGTCATCACCTTATAAAAAACGCCAATATTTCAACTATACAAATAAAGATATTTATTTAGTGGCTTTATTCGAGAAGCTTTGACCATTCTCTCCTCCGTTTTCAGAATTTCACGATCCAACTTTTTGTAAATTCAGGAAATTCATCCTTTAGCTACATTTATATATGTTGTAAATCTACAGATTTCCATTTCCACCTACAATATATTCTTTTATAATTATTATTATCTTACGTCATCATTATTAATATTTAATATAAGCTTTTTTTTAAAAAAAAAAAATAATTCTGTTCCTGATAACTATCATTCAGTTAAGGTAAGTTGATCATATCAAATTAATTATTTTTGACAATAAATATATAGAAATGAGGGAAACGTTCCAATCAAAAATCATTCCAAGTCGAAAAAAAAAGAATTTTGGAAAGCTAATCAAGATATCTATAGAATAGGGAAAACCAACCTAAAGTTATACCGACTCCTTTATTCTTCAAACGTAATTTATAGGTTGAATCTTCAGAAAACATTTAGAAAAAATAAGATCTTAAAAAAACAGAAAAGCATGAAAAATTTTATTCGTGTAACCGATAAAAATAAAAAAGCGCTGGAAGAGAGGGCACTCATTATAATGTACTAATAAAATTTTGCTGTGAATGAATAAAATATAAGTAACCAAATCTGAAAATTGCGTCATTTTAATTCTGCAAATTATAATTAGAATACTGTATTTACCTTTTTGGCATATGTACGATACGATTCGTTTGACCTGTACGGTAAGATTTTACAGATCGTTAAAAATGGTTCGTATCGTACCGTACTCTATAATATTTTAACTTGTTACGCCGGACGAAAATTATTTTATAAATGCGAATCGTACCGGTCAAAAGAATCGTATCATACCGGTTTCCATATACCTTTACCTATACTTTTAACTTTTCTGTCAGAAATTTACATCGAATCGAAAAGATTTTCTGAAAGTTCTTTCAACTAATTAGACTAAAGGCACTTTATATTTTTTATATTTTTATTTATTTATTTTTTTATTTTTTGTTTTAATAATAAAATTGGTTTTTTGATTTCAAATGAGAATCTCTACTCAGTCGACGGTTGCAGGCTGGTGGTTGAATTTTTTTTTTTTATTTTGTCAGAATAATAAACAAATTCACGTGATTACATAATTTACCATTTTTTGCAGCAATTTAGTAACTTTTATAAATTTAAATAAATATCAATCGGTTTTTAATTATAATTAAATTTTTGATATCTTTAATAAAGTAATCTCTTCAAAGATCAAAAAATGCCAATTTAAGAAAGATTTTTAGAATGTTTAATTTGAAAATTTCACAAGGATATTCAATTTAACAAAAAGGTTTTTAATGTTTTAGTAAAAAATTCCGGAGTTGACTACTATTGGCTCCAACAGCGTATCACTACCGTAATTATATAGTCATGTCGTATTATTTCTGTATGGCGTTTTCGCATAATGTTGCATGCATAGAAGATATTCGCGGCATATAGAAATCTCACATGCGATTACATAACCTAATAATAAAAAACAAAGTAAAAAATAGATCATTTGACCATTTAGGAAATAATTCTTAAATGAACTTAGTCATTTCATTTCACGTAAGATAAATGAACTGAATGATTTTGTCTTCGTCATTCTACATATGTAAAAAATTCGTGGCTTAATATGGCATTAAAGGATTTGTCTACGATGGTGGTAATTAATCGAGTTAAAAAAAATAATCAGAGGTCCCATGGTTACACAAAATGGAGTTTATCGTTCTTTAAACGACGAAAATTAGATTAAATTTATATTACAATTAAATTTTATTAATATTTCAAAATAAATGCGAAATATACGAAAAATGAAATTTGCAAAAAATTCTAACGAAAAAAAATCTTCTTCAGAAGTGTAATATTATAGAAGAAATCATTTCACAAAATTTTACATTTGATCAAAAAGTTAATTTATTTAAAATAAATTTGTTTTTTAATGTAATAATTTGAGAGTTGGATCAAAAGAATACTGTACATAAAAAACGAAATTATTTTTTAAAAAGAATCAACCATCTAAATAAACGTACTTATGTATCTTAGATATATTTAAACATAAAATTTAACGTCACAATCTGAAAAATCGTCTTCATTTTCAATTTTTTCACTTTCTCCATCTTCTTTAGAATAATATTCACTTTCAGGATCAATACTATTAAGTTCTAAAATTACTTGATCAATATCTGGTCTTTCGTCTGGCTCATGCTTCCAACATTCTATTTAAATATGTAGATTAATGATTAGATTTTAGATTGTAATTAAAAGAATATATATATAACAAAATAAAAATTATGCTTACTTTGATAAAGTTTGACAAATATACGATTCGTTGTTGGAATAGGCTTTTCTCTCACACCTTTAAGAATTTCAATCTGAATAAAAGTATCGACAGAATTTCAAAATTGAAAGGTGATGCACAACTTGTCAATTCCCAGAACAATACTCCTAAGCTATAAATATCAGATTTTTTGG